GGTTAGTGGCTCAAGAGCTGCCAAGAGGAGCATGTAAATATTACACGACCTACATATGCATTGATGACGCTACTCTTATACCTGTCTGTGCATTCACTCTTACTGTTTATACATTTTCCTGCGTCAGTTGGTTTGCGATACATATCTGTGATGAACCTACTCGAGTTGCCGTCAACGAGAACATCGAGGAATGGAATCTTCTTTCCTTTGCTTTTATCAACGGTGAACTTTAAGCCCGAGAAGTCTTGTAGCTTGCTACAAAGCCTCTTCATTGCGTTATCATTGTCAACACATACGAATATGTCGTTGACATATCTGTAGTAGATACTAAGGTTCAGCCCTTCCCTCTGTATGACGGACGACTCAACATGAGACATGTATACCTAGGCGAACAAGATCCCCCAATGGGGATCTCACTGCCACACCATCAACCTGCAGGTAGAGTTTACCCTATGAGCACAGGAAAGGAGCTTCAGTGGTGCAGGCCTTCAGCATATCCCGTAAGATAGTTCGAGGTACCTTGAGTGGAGGGAGGTGCTCTTGTTGATATACATAGTCCAATATTACGTTTATGGTCCTGTCCACTGGATCGCAGGTGAATAGACTTTCAACGTCAAGGAAAGACATGATTCCACGGGGTTCTCTCGTTTTCAGAACGTCTATAAATTCGTCGCTAGATTTAAGCGAGAATGTGGTCGGGACGTACGGCGATATTATTGCGTTCGATCTCTTTGCAAGTCTTTAAGTTGGCGTGGAAATTTGCGAAATTATAGGCCTAAGTGAGTTGCCAGGCTTATGCGTCTTCACATTACCATAGATGGATCCTGGTCCAAAATCACCTGTTACTCTTTCAAATTTTAGGCCTCTAATCCAGATCCGTCTTACCATATGCGCCCGATGGGCACTTGTCCGGGGGCCCGACGAGCATAGGGGCCCCACAAGCATAGGACATGTTTATTATGAAAGCAAAATGTTTAAATATTTAGGTCCTGTTGCAAGTACGCTTATATAATATAACCCTACAACCTAATGTGGGACTAAACACTAAATATTTAGATATATATTTCCAGGTGAATAACCCTTTTAGCAGAAATGAAACGTAATGTTTTGAGTGGAGCACAGAAGAGGAAGAGTTTCAAAATTAATTAACTTTCCAAATTAACATTGTGGCGCAACACAGGTGCGTCGACCACCACTCATACCATTCCTTCAGATATAGTATCCACATCAGCATCCACTCCTGCTATGTCAACCACTAGTAGTGTTCCTTCAGATATAGCATCCACATCTATATCCATTCCTGCTACCAATCAATCCGTTTCAGCAGACATACCATCATTGCCTGTTGCTGCCAGTGGTGGTGACATTTTACAAGAGGAATTACCCAAATCTGTAACAGTAAATGAGTTTGCAATCCAAGAGACAGATCCGGGGCTATGGAATATTAATGATACTAACACAGTAGATTACTGGATTCGTAGTGGGCCCCTCATCATGTCAGAATCATGATAGCAACCTTTTAAACTCGCGCAGAATGTGTAGAACAGCTGGAGTAGAAAATATGAAGGCAGGGTATTCATCAATCAATTTGTTCAAACGTGAACTGCAGAATGGAGAGTATGTAAAACTCTGTGGTGTGGGCCGGTCTTGGAGCGAGACATGAACCCAGCGATAGGTGACGTAAAAGGGGATTTCGATGTGGATTTAATATATAACTTATTTACGAATATTCTAAACAAAGCACAGGAACGTAGTATACCATACAAATTGAATAGATCGAATACTAATGACCCAAAGTGGATAACAAATAATTTAAAGAACCTAATAGGTAAAAAGAGAGCTTGGTACAAAAGGATTAAGAATGGGGAAGTCAGTTTAGAACAGGAATTCATACAACTGGTTAGAAATGTTAAAAAAGAGATTAGGAAAGCAAAAAGAAACTATGAAGTTCGCATAGCAGAGCAAGCAAAGTCAAATCCTAAAGGTTTTTTTCAGTTATATCGAACTAAGACTAGGGAAGGGATAGGTCCATTAAAATCTGAGACTGGTCAAATAACGGATAATGACAAGGAGATGAGTAGTATTTTTAACAAATGTTTCATATCTGTATTTACTAAAGAAGAACTTAACAATATGCCTTCAGCTGAACAAGTCTATGTGGGTGGGGATGAGGACAGGTTGACTAGTTTAGCAGTTACCAGGGAGGATGTAATTAAACAATTAGAAAAACTAAAACCAAACAAATCCCCAGGGCCGGATGAAGTGTTTGCCAGGGTGCTTAAAGAATGCAAAGAGGAGCTTTCCGAGCCACTGTCTACCATATTTAATAAATCAATAGAGTCAGGCAGAGTGCCAGAGTTTTGGAAGGTATCTAATGTGGTACCAATTTTTAAGAAAGGAGATAGATCACTTGCGTCAAACTATCGGCCAATTAGCCTAACGTCTATTGTGGGAAAGTTACTTGAATCAATAATTGCAAATACAATTCGTCTCCATCTTGAAAAACATAAATTAATAAATGAGTCGCAACATGGTTTTACAAATGGCCGTTCATGTTTAACAAATTTGCTAACTTTTTATTCCAGCATAGTTGAGGCAGTTGATAGTGGTAAGGATTGTGATGTTGTGTACCTTGACTTTAGCAAAGCTTTTGATACAGTGCCACATGAAAGACTAATTAAAAAAATAGAAGCTCATGGTATTGGGGGTGCTATATTAACTTGGATTAGGGCATGGCTATTCCAAAGGAAACAGAGAGTTAGTATAAATGGGGTTAAGTCAGAGTGGGATAATGTTGTTAGTGGAGTACCTCAGGGCTCTGTCCCGGGACCTCTGTTGTTTATAATATATATAAAGGATTTAGATTCAGGTTTGAGTAGCAACATTTGCAAATTTGCCGATGATACGAAAATCGGTAGGGAAATTAATTCGGAGGAGGACTCACTATCACTTCAAGTTGATCTAGATAGGGTTTTGAAATGGTCAAAGGATTGGCAAATGCAGTTTAATGCTGATAAATGTAAAGTTCTGAGGCTAGGTAATGATGATAGAGTTACAAGATACGAGCTAGATGGTGTTGAGATTGCGAAGTCGGATTGCGAAAGGGATCTGGGAGTTATGATTAGTAAGAATTTAAAACAAAAAGGTCAATGCATGAATGTTCGTAATAAGGCGAATAGGACACTGGGATTTATTAATCGAAGCGTTAGTAACAAGACTCCCGGTGTGGTTCTTAAGCTATATCTTGCTCTGGTTAGGCCCCATTTAGATTATGCAGTTCAGTTTTGGTCGCCATATTATAGAATGGATATAAATTCACTTGAACGTGTCCAACGTAGGATGACTAAGTTAATTCCCCAAATTAGAAATCTTTCATATGAAGAAAGATTAACAAAGCTTAAGTTGCATTCACTGGAAAGGCAAGAGTTAGGGGTGACATGATAGAGGTTTACAAGTGGATGAATGGACATAACAGGGGGGATATTAATAGGGTATTAAAAATATCAACACAAGACAGAACACGAAACAATGGGTATAAATTGGATAAGTTTAGATTTAGGAAGGATTTGGGTAAATACTGGTTCAGTAACAGGGTTGTGGAACCAATTGCCACGTAACGTGGTAGAGGTGGGGTCCCTCGATTGTTTCAAGCGCGGGTTGGACAAGTATATGAGTGGGATTGGGTGGTTATAGATAGGAGCTGCCTCGTATGGGCCAATAGGCCTTCTGCAGTTACCTTTGTTCTTATGTTCTTATGTTCTTAAAACATGAATGCCATCCCAATCATGAATGGTATCCTATTCACCATCCCAAGGTCGTTTGTACTGCTTTGTATGTCGTCTATTGTCCAAAAAAGAATCTTCCTTTGATACATTGGGGTTTAATGACTGGAAGCACAGCAATGTTATTGTAGAACATGAAAGTTGAGAAGAACATCGAAAGTATCTGACAGCATATTTGATAAGGCATAAAGAAACTGGAAGTGTAGATTCTTTATTACTTGAGCAACATCACTCAGAGCAAGAATATTTGCATAATGAGTTGACCGTGTGGTTTCTGAAATTCGCTTACTTGCTTCTAGAGGTTTGCCATTTCGTGGAGAAAATCAGATTATTGGGTCAACAAAAAAGTATACTAGAGCTGCCGAGTGAATTTGACCCTTTCTTGGAATATGTCAAAATGTATGGAAATACTTGAAAGGTGAATCCGTTATATTTATTTGCAAATAATTGTGACGAATTTATTGAATTAATGTGACAGCAGGTTCTTTTTGCTATTCTTGAAGAAGTAAAATGAGTCAAGGTATTATTCAATATATGTAGATTCCACTCTAGACATCTCACACATATATCAACTGACATTTACTGGCCAATACATTAAAGGCTGTGAGCCTGTGGAACGTTTCTTGAGGTTCATCCCCATCTTTTCTCACGGAGAAAAGAATTTAACAAGCACTGTCGTGAGTTATCTTGAAGAGAACAAAATTCCATTATCAAACTGCCGTGGTCAGTATTACGATAATGATTCAAATATGTCTGGACGATATACTGGATTGCAAGCACGGATTCATCAACTCATTGAGTTTGGCATTGCTGTGATCCCTGTGCTGGACACAGCCTGAACATGGTGGGAGTAAAAGCAGCAGGGTGGTGTCTACGGACTGTCAATTTTTTTTACTTTATACAACATCTGTATTCATTTTATGCTGATTGTACTTATCGCTGGAATGTATTAACATCATTTTTAGGAAAAGATTTCGTAGTCAAGCGTTTGTCTGACACACATTGTCAGCACATTTTGATGCTGTTCATGCGTTGTATTTGATGCTGTTCATCCTCAGTATGGGGGTAAAAATAGAAAATGAAATATACACTGGATTCTCTATAAGCTGATAATAAACAGCAAGTGAATACAAGGCGAAAGGCAGAAGGGTTGAGCAAACAAATGAAAACCTGGAAACAATCTATTTCACAATTCTTTAGAATGACATGCTAAAAAGAATGAACAAAACAAATAAGGTCCTGCAATCAAAGGACGTGAACATCCTTGTTGCCACGAATCTTCCTGAGTCTATGAAAAGCTACCTTCAGGAAACTAGAGACAAATTTAGTGTATGTGAATTCAAAGCCAGGAGTATGTGTCCAGATACAGATTACAGTGATGGAAAAAAACGAGAACGAAAACGAAGTGTTCGTCTTAGTAGATATGATGGATCAGCAGAAGAAGTACCTAACACTGAACCCGAAAAATTCAAATTGGAAACTTTCCTCCCTATTCTGGACACTCTAATCTTTGAACTGACAAAACCTGTAAAGGCTTATTCACAGATTGGAAATCTGTTTTCTTTCTTCAGTGATTTGAAAACTACTGCTTCTGATGCACAAAAGAAGAAGTGGGACCATCTGGCTAATATGTATCACAAAGACCTGAATTATGATGACCTTTTAAATGAATATGAGCATCTCAAGCACAACATGGTTCTTGATGGAAATTGTGATACTCTCCCTGCACTGTACAGAAAATTAATTTTGGACAGTTTGAGATCTGTATTCTTGAATGTTGAAAATGCACTCAGAGAGTTCATGTGCATGATGGTGATCGACTGTACAGGAGAACGTTCTTTTTCAAGAATAAAATTATAAAAAAAATCTGCTTCGTAGCCAATGGACCAGCATCGTTTGAAGTGGCTTTCACTCATGTGCATGGAAAATGACACCCTGAAGACCATTGACTTCGAGCCAATAATAAAGTAATTCTCTGAAAAGACCTACCGAAAATGCTTGTTATAATAAGAAGTTCGTAGCAATTTCATACTGTGCCATCTAATCAGTGTAGCTTAGTGAGTATTATTGTATATTTCAAGCCTTATGTATTGCTCAAATGATTATCATGTTGATTGGATGCTGCTCTACAGCATGTTTTTAATGTTTTAACGCCAGTTTTGTTGAAGTGGCAATAAAATAAATATATGTTTAATATTATCGGCAATTTACTTGTTATTCCTGAGAGTGGTTGTCGAAGGGGCCCCAGCACACTGGCTTGCCCAGGGGCCCATAATGCTGTTAAGATGGTCCTGCTCCAATCTCAGAGTTCGCTGCATCTATGAGAGCATTCGAACGTTTGTTAAAGTTCTCAGTTGGGTTTCTTGTAATATCTTTAAACTATGATGTGTCTTGTAGAATAGTTCTAACTTTCTCAAAATAGACACAGCAGTCAAGTAAGATGTATGTGGCAGACTTATCTGCCTTCCTCACTATTATGTTAGTGTTATTACACAAGTCCTTTGCCGCTTGGAGTAACTGGGGTGTGAGGAGACCAGGAGTGTGGTGGTATGAGGAGACCAGCAGTGTGTGGTGGTGTGAGGAGACCCGGAGTGTGGTGGTGTGAGGAGACCAGCAGTGTGTGGTGGTGTGAGGAGACCCGGAGTGTGGTGGTGTGAGGAGACCCGGAGTGTGGTGGTGTGAGGAGACCAGGAGTGTGGTGGTGTGAGGAGACCCGGAGTGTGGTGGTGTGAGGAGACCCGGAGTGTGGTGGTGTGAGGAGACCAGGAGTGTGGTGGTGTGAGGAGACCAGGAGTGTGGTGGTGTGAGGAGACCAGGAGTGTGGTGGTGTGAGGAGACCAGGAGTGTGGTGTGAGGAGACCAGGAGTGTGGGTGTGTGAGAGACCAGGAGTGTGGTGGTGTGAGGAGACCAGGAGTGTGGTGGTGTGAGGAGACCAGGAGTGTGGTGGTGTGAGGAGACCAGGAGTGTGGTGGTGTGAGGAGACCAGGAGTGTGGTGGTGTGAGGAGACCAGGAGTGTGGGTGTGTGAGGAGACCAGGAGTGTGGTGGTGTGAGGAGACCAGGAGTGTGGTGGTGTGAGGAGACCAGGAGTGTGGGTGTGTGAGGAGACCAGGAGTGTGGTGGTGTGAGGAGACCAGGAGTGTGGGTGTGTGAGGAGACCAGGAGTGTGGAGGAGACCAGGAGTGTGAGGAGACCAGGAGTGTGGGTGTGTGAGGAGACCAGGAGTGTGGGTGTGTGAGGAGACCAGGAGTGTGGTGTGTGAGGAGACCAGGAGTGTGGGTGTGTGAGGAGACCAGGAGTGTGGGTGTGTGAGGAGACCAGGAGTGTGGGTGTGTGAGGAGACCAGGAGTGTGGGTGTGTGAGGAGATCAGGAGTGTGGTGTGTGTGAGGAGACCAGGAGTGTGGGTGTGTGAGGAGATCAGGAGTGTGGGTGTGTGAGGAGATCAGGAGTGTGGGTGTGTGAGGAGATCAGGAGTGTGGGTGTGTGAGGAGATCAGGAGTGTGGTGGTGTGAGGAGATCAGGAGTGTGGTGGTGTGAGGAGATCAGGAGTGTGGTGGTGTGAGGAGACCAGGAGTGTGGGTGTGTGAGGAGACCAGGAGTGTGGTGGTGTGAGGAGACCAGGAGTGTGGTGGTGTGAGGAGACCAGGAGTGTGGGTGTGTGAGGAGATCAGGAGTGTGGGTGTGTGAGGAGACCAGGAGTGTGGTGGTGTGAGGAGACCAGGAGTGTGGTGGTGTGAGGAGACCAGGAGTGTGGTGGTGTGAGGAGACCAGGAGTGTGGTGGTGTGAGGAGACCAGGAGTGTGGTGTGTGTGAGGAGACCAGGAGTGTGGGTGTGTGAGGAGACCAGGAGTGTGGGTGTGTGAGGAGACCAGGAGTGTGGGTGTGTGAGGAGACCAGGAGTGTGGTGGTGTGAGGAGACCAGGAGTGTGGGTGTGTGAGGAGACCAGGAGTGTGGGTGTGTGAGGAGATCAGGAGTGTGGTGGTGTGAGGAGATCAGGAGTGTGGGTGTGTGAGGAGATCAGGAGTGTGGGTGTGTGAGGAGATCAGGAGTGTGGGTGTGTGAGGAGACCAGGAGTGTGGGTGTGTGAGGAGACCAGGAGTGTGGGTGTGTGAGGAGATCAGGAGTGTGGTGGTGTGAGGAGATCAGGAGTGTGGGTGTGTGAGGAGATCAGGAGTGTGGGTGTGTGAGGAGATCAGGAGTGTGGGTGTGTGAGGAGATCAGGAGTGTGGGTGTGTGAGGAGACCAGGAGTGTGGGTGTGTGAGGAGACCAGGAGTGTGGGTGTGTGAGGAGACCAGGAGTGTGGGTGTGTGAGGAGATCAGGAGTGTGGGTGTGTGAGGAGACCAGGAGTGTGGGTGTGTGAGGAGACCAGGAGTGTGGGTGTGTGAGGAGACCAGAGGAGACCAGGAGTGTGGGTGTGTGAGGAGACCAGGAGTGTGGGTGTGTGAGGAGACCAGGAGTGTGGGTGTGTGAGGAGACCAGGAGTGTGGGTGTGTGAGGAGACCAGGAGTGTGGGTGTGTGAGGAGACCAGGAGTGTGGGTGTGTGAGGAGACCAGGAGTGTGGGTGTGTGAGGAGACCAGGAGTGTGGGTGTGTGAGGAGACCAGGAGTGTGGGTGTGTGAGGAGACCAGGAGTGTGGGTGTGTGAGGAGACCAGGAGTGTGGGTGTGTGAGGAGACCAGGAGTGTGGGTGTGTGAGGAGACCAGGAGTGTGGGTGTGTGAGGAGACCAGGAGTGTGGGTGTGTGAGGAGACCAGGAGTGTGGGTGTGTGAGGAGACCAGGAGTGTGGGTGTGTGAGGAGACCAGGAGTGTGGGTGTGTGAGGAGACCAGGAGTGTGGGTGTGTGAGGAGACCAGGAGTGTGGGTGTGTGAGGAGACCAGGAGTGTGGGTGTGTGAGGAGACCAGGAGTGTGGGTGTGTGAGGAGACCAGGAGTGTGGGTGTGTGAGGAGGAGACCAGGAGTGTGGGTGTGTGAGGAGACCAGGAGTGTGGGTGTGTGAGGAGACCAGGAGTGTGGGTGTGTGAGGAGACCAGGAGTGTGGGTGTGTGAGGAGACCAGGAGTGTGGGTGTGTGAGGAGACCAGGAGTGTGGGTGTGTGAGGAGACCAGGAGTGTGGGTGTGTGAGGAGACCAGGAGTGTGGGTGTGTGAGGAGACCAGGAGTGTGGGTGTGTGAGGAGACCAGGAGTGTGGGTGTGTGAGGAGACCAGGAGTGTGGGTGTGTGAGGAGACCAGGAGTGTGGGTGTGTGAGGAGACCAGGAGTGTGGGTGTGTGAGGAGACCAGGAGTGTGGGTGTGTGAGGAGACCAGGAGTGTGGGTGTGTGAGGAGACCAGGAGTGTGGGTGTGTGAGGAGACCAGGAGTGTGGGTGTGTGAGGAGACCAGGAGTGTGGGTGTGTGAGGAGACCAGGAGTGTGGGTGTGTGAGGAGACCAGGAGTGTGGGTGTGTGAGGAGACCAGGAGTGTGGGTGTGTGAGGAGACCAGGAGTGTGGTGGTGTGAGGAGACCAGGAGTGTGGGTGTGTGAGGAGACCAGGAGTGTGGGTGGTGAGGAGACCAGGAGTGTGGGTGTGTGAGGAGACCAGGAGTGTGGGTGTGTGAGGAGACCAGGAGTGTGGGTGTGTGAGGAGACCAGGAGAGTGGGTGTGTGAGGAGACCAGGAGTGTGGGTGTGTGAGGAGACCAGGAGTGTGGGTGTGTGAGGAGACCAGGAGTGTGGGTGTGTGAGGAGACCAGGAGTGTGGGTGTGTGAGGAGACCAGGAGTGTGGTGGTGTGAGGAGACCAGGAGTGTGGGTGTGTGAGGAGACCAGGAGTGTGGGTGTGTGAGGAGACCAGGAGTGTGGGTGTGTGAGGAGACCAGGAGTGTGGGTGTGTGAGGAGACCAGGAGTGTGGTGTGTGTGAGGAGACCAGGAGTGTGGTGTGTGTGAGGAGACCAGGAGTGTGGTGGTGTGAGGAGACCAGGAGTGTGGGTGTGTGAGGAGACCAGGAGTGTGGTGGTGTGAGGAGACCAGGAGTGTGGTGGTGTGAGGAGACCAGAGGAGGTGGTGTGAGGAGACCAGGAGTGTGGGTGTGTGAGGAGACCAGGAGTGTGGGTGTGAGTGAGGAGACCAGGAGTGTGGTGGTGTGAGGAGACCAGGAGTGTGGTGGTGTGAGGAGACCAGGAGTGTGGGTGTGGTGGGTGGTGAGGAGACCAGGAGTGTGGGTGTGTGAGGAGACCAGGAGTGTGGTGGTGTGAGGAGACCAGGAGTGTGGGTGTGTGTGGAGAGACCAGGAGTGTGGTGGTGTGAGGAGACCAGCAGTGTGGGTGTGTGAGGAGACCAGGAGTGTGGTGGTGTGAGGAGACCAGGAGTGTGGGTGTGTGAGGAGATCAGGAGTGAGGTTGTGTGTGAGGAGACCAGGAGTGTGGGTGTGTGAGGAGACCAGGAGTGTGGTGGTGTGAGGAGATCAGGAGTGTGGGTGTGTGAGGAGACCAGGAGTGTGGGTGTGAGGAGACCAGGAGTGTGGGTGTGTGAGGAGATCAGGAGTGTGGGTGTGTGAGGAGATCAGGAGTGTGGGTGTGTGAGGAGACCAGGAGTGTGGGTGTGTGAGGAGACCAGGAGTGTGGGTGTGTGAGGAGACCAGGAGTGTGGTGTGTGTGAGGAGACCAGGAGTGTGGGTGTGTGAGGAGATCAGGAGTGTGGGTGTGTGAGGAGATCAGGAGTGTGGGTGTGTGAGGAGATCAGGAGTGTGGGTGTGAGGAGACCAGGAGTGTGGGTGTGTGAGGAGATCAGGAGTGTGGGTGTGTGAGGAGACCAGGAGTGTGGTGAGGAGACCAGGAGTGTGAGGAGACCAGGAGTGTGGGTGTGTGAGGAGACCAGGA